CGATAAGTTATCGAGCTCGATTAGCAATCGTACTCGATTAGTAATCGAGCTCGACTTGTAGTTATCGAGCTCGATTATAAAACGTGGTTTGCTCATCGAGCAGGAATGGTAATCGAGTACGACAAATGCATATCGAGCTCGGTTGCCCAGGAACAAAATGTGATCCAAAATATGTGTCTAAATACTAGGGTGGAACACTTTTCTCAGTGGGAGGAAATGACGTCACTAGCCCAAGCAACTTCACAGCTTTTGCAGCACCTGCTAACAGAGCACCAATTAGCTATTCAGAGGAGAAGTCAAATACTCAGTGGCCTCTTGACACTCTTAAGCAAAAGTCTTGTGTTGGCAAAACAAGACTCTCTTCCTTCACAGTCTGACTGCAAGGCTCAAAAATTCGCACGCCAGGAAGGCGGTTTACAACGAGACATTTTCAAAGAATCGTTTAACAGTTTACGCGAATCTTTGGAAAAGTTGCTTCGGGCTTCGGGGAGTTTGCAGCAGGCATCGCAGAGGTACTGTCAAGATGAATTCCAGGTAAATATTTAAGAAAAATATCGAACTTCTGTGTTTAAAGGTCAGTGCAGGCTGGCCAAATTAGCTCGAAACATATTAACCAGTATAATTACTCAGATGATTATAGAGATCGCGCGCTTTGATTAGTCGAGCATCGCGTCATATCTCTTTATAATCACCTCAGGCGAAGTGATTATAGCAGGAGCACTAAATTTCAAAATGGCTGCCTCGCGTTTCGTCAGTGTTTTTCGAGGAAGTGATAAACGCGAGAAGAGAAAATTCAGTCGCGAAGGGCACAAAAGACGATAAAAGATAGGTAGAAAACTTTTCAATTGAAAGACGTTTTTCCAGGTTGAATTGAACAAACCTGTTAAAACTACAAACTAGTAATCAACACAATTGTTACAAAATATGCACAATGCTTTCTTTGATGAAGAGTTCACAACAGAATTCGAAAGCACCTGAGCAATAATACTAAAACAAATTATTCACCTCAGGCTCAGTGAACATTGTTGAATAATCCCTTCGAATTCGTTTTGGGAATTTTCAACAATTTTCACTTCCCCATCGGCGAAAAAATTGAGTAGTTGGTGTGAGATTTCCCAGATAGGACTTATATCCTTCTCTGATCTTATTAATCCCATTATTCGTTGACATAATTAAACAACTATTAATTTAGAGATCGCTCTGACGAAGGGCCAACGCTCGAATCGTCAGCTTTGAAACTTCATTATCAACTCAGACGCAGCACCACAGTTTCTTTAGAAACGAACCACCTTTACGTATACGTAATTGAGTAATTAGAATTGTAATACTTCTATTGTAAAAAAAAAAAAAAAGAACACATAAGACTAAAACTTTGGAAAAAATTAGCGCGGTGAGTGTAATGCGACAGTTTATTTCAAATCATGGAAACAAATGCTTATTCCTTTTCATTCATTCCGAGTTAAAATATCTCATGCGAATTAGAGATATTTTATTCGTACGTTTTCCGAATACAAAGTGTTTCCATCTATGACATTTGTCATGTCAGTGAACCAAGTATCGGAAGGTTTAAACGTGCTGAACTAAATTCAATGCTGATTACCCCTAGTTTTGGTCAAACCTTCTATCTGTAAAGCTGGATGATGATGAAATGCAACAAAGACTGGAAAGCTGTGTGAAGGATGTACTAGAAAGTCGCATTTCTGAGGTAAGTTCCAATTTTTGCTTTCATATTTCGTCACTCAACAAACTTCCATTCATTTGAATATATCAACAAAGTTGAAATGGTAAATCGGCCACCGTTACGATTATAAAAGCTGCCGTTTCGAGCGTTAGCTCTTCGTCGGAGCGAATAGAGGAATTGTGGGTTGTGTGTGCTTTTAAAGGCAGAGAATGGAGCTACGTTATTGGTGGGAACATGGCAACGAGAAAACACGAATAAATTAGTGGAATGAAAAGCGTTCTTTAATAGCTGTGGGATTTAGACTGCCGGTTTGAAAGATGAGCTTTTGTTGAAGAGTTTTACGGCTTTCCGTGTTACCTAAGTGTAAGGAAAGACCGCAGATTGCCATATGTCGCTTAGAATAATTAGGTAAATTAAAATGTCTAGCGACTGGTTTCGTTGTGTGATTGTCATTCCTCTCCACGTCGCGAAGGTGTTCTCGGAATCGGTCACCTAGTCTTCTGCCTGTTTCGCCGATGTAAATCTTTTTGCAGTTAGTGCAAGTTATGCAGTAGATTACATTGGCGGAGGTGCACGTGAAGTGATCGGTGATCTTATTGGATCGTTTGGGTCCCGATATGTTCTCAGTGTTGTGAATGAAAGGACACGTTTTGCATCGTGCACAAGCGCATTTAAAAGTGCCTGGTTGGTCATTAGTCTGAAAAGAACTTCTGACCAAAAAATTGCCCCGCTGGTAACCCGCTTGAACGACAGAATCAGGGTAACCACGTTTATCGAAAAACTGGCACATTGACTCGGATTTGTGGTGGAAATCAGAGTCATCACTACAGAAGCGACGAAGTCTTAGAAACTGAGAAAAAGGAATGGAATTCTTAACGTGAGATGGATGCGAAGACGAATACAAGTAATTATGCGAGTCTGTAGGTTTGTAAAGGCTGATAGTTTCGAAAGAAACTGTTTGGGGCTGCGTCGGTGGGAGTACCGAAATATTTTGGACATATCAACAAAGTTGAAATGATACATTGGCCACTGTAGGTTTGTAATACACACTAGTGCATAAACCGTTGCCTTCAATTGAAACTTGATATATTCAAATTATTCAAATATATTATTGATATATTCAAATTATTTCGTTACCCCCACCGACGCAGCCCCAAACGGTTTGTTTAGAAACTATCAGCCTTTAAACTTCCATTCAGTCAGGGAAATATGTAATTAACAGTTATTCCACGAGCGCGCGTTGGATATAAGATGATAGATAGCCAACGGGGCGCGTAGCGCCGAGTTGGCTATAATCATCTCATATCCAATAAGCGCTCGTGGAATAAATGTTTTATTAAAAAAAAACGCCCTAAAGATATCAGGCAAATCTTTTCGACTTTATTTTGTAAGAAGAAACCGGATGTTACAATGAACAGATATTAGATTATGATATATTGACTCATATACCATAATGGCTAAGCCAATAAAAAGTTTTGAATTGCATTATCCAATAATCCAGTTTTTAATAATATATATTATTGACTTACCACACTATGGGAAAATGAATTCCTTAAGCTCAATGTCCATATTTGTCTCATGTGTTTCTTCATTGATCAAATAGATCGACTACCAGCGTGTTATGGAATTATATTGCACCCTTGATCTCAGCATCTACCATCAAGAAATTGGTGACTGTCTCATGTCCGCTGCATTTAAAGCCATAGACCATTCACGGCAGGTACGCTGCTGACTCCATATGTGAATAATTGACATTACCGTCTATTTAGAAATACATTTTTAAGCAGTACGAAAGTATACGTTGGTATTAAGGATCAAGGAGTTCCGTATGGATATACCGTATTTACCCGTGTATAATGTGCGCCCATGTATACTGCACACCCTTGTTTTTAACCTAATTTATCAGAAAAAAAAAGTTTTTCATGGCAAAAAAGACAAGTTAAAAATTCGTACAGTTATTTATTAAGCCAACAAAGTAAGAAATTTACAATATCGGTAACTTTTATGGTGAATGACATTTAGACGCTCTGAACGGTAGTTATCACTAGACTGAGGAACGAGGACCTTAACTCTTGTGATAATAATATTTCCGGTATCATCGTCGAAGCGTCTGTTTTTTCGACCCGGTCAAATTTCTTTTCAGAGCCACCATTGGTGAAAGATCACTTAACGTGATCCACTTTTGTTCTCAGGAACCACGCTATTTAGTGCAATCGCCAATTTTTTCATCACAAACTGTTCCTGGCACGAGCTTAGAGACCATGAGCGGAATTTAGGGCTGATTTGTAGCTAAGCTAGAGGCTCCCTAATGTATCTCTTTTTGACTGTAGTCACTACCACTGAGTGGTAAATATTTTAAATCCCTTTTCTGACTTTTTTATAGGGAGAAATCAAGGACGGCCAAATGGAAAGATTAAGTGCCAGACTAGACTCAGTAAAGCTGGCTGAATGGCAGACATCTGGCGTCGGTAAACTGTTTGGTCATCTGTTAATGAGTCACTGGCCAGAGGGAAGGGATGGAACAGATCCTTCCCGCGACGAGCTTTTGCGGCATGTGTTTTCTTGGAAACCGATGGAGGAATACTTTAAATACTTTCGTATGTTAAGAGTATAAATTTGTGTTTGGTACTGTTTATTGTTTCTTTCCTTTTACTTCATCTTTTCTTCCCCAATACAATTCAGTGTAAAAGGGAGTAAAATTGAAAAGAGCAAAACAAAACGCCATGAAAAGTGGAGTTATTTTTTCAATTAGATAAGCGCAAAGTTCCAGCTAAGTGTAACTTCTCAAACGATATTTCACCGCTTAGTTCAAGTAGGTTTGACTGCCCAGCACCGATGAAAAAACGATATCCTTGACAAAGGATGTTTTTTTAGTTACAAATGCAGATCATATATTTGACAACGAAGCTTGACTCGCAACTCAATCCATGCTTATCAAAATGTCTTTTTATCTTTATTGTTCCATTCAGTTAGATTTTTAAAGCAATTTTCCATCTCTGTTTATAGAAAGTAGCCTGGAAATGACAGGTATATTTTTCTTAGGCGGCCAACGTCAGGATGGAGCCAGTTTACCTCCTAAAAGCTCGGACCTTCTTGAATTGGCCTCTTCACTTCTGGAGGACGTTAGTACAGGCCTCAGGAACGCAGAGATTGATGTGAAAACACTACGAATTGTTCAAGAAAACCGAGAAAAGTTCTTGAAGTTGAACTACCTGCGATCCAGTACCGAGAAAAACCAAAAAGAGACAAATCCCATGGAGTTGTTTCTTGATATGCGTTCCGAGGAGCTCAAAGTGTTCGAAAGCGAGAGAGAAGCAGTATTATCCTTCGTGGAGTTTTGTTCTGCTGTAAAGTCAGGTGAGACTAAACTCAAACGCTTATGATAGGTATTAGCTTTGTTTGGAAATGATTCGACATTCCTATTTTGGAGAATGATTTATTGCAGCAAAATTAACAAATTTTTATGAAAGTCAACAACCTGATTATTGTAACAATCCCATGGCTACACTAAAGGCAATCCCAAACTGCAGCATGACTCGCAAATTTTCCGGCAAACTTGAATAACACAGTAGGTCTTACTGGTAAACTTTTTTAATATTTCTAACCCCGCCTCCTTGCAGTCTTTTCACCCTCCACCATCTACGCCCTCCTACAACTTGTTTTCTTGAAAAGCCCCAACAAAAAATTACCAATTGGCAGATTCCAAATAGAAATCTGACCTTCCCACTATCGTCGTCAAATGAGCTGAAAATGAGATTAGGAACGCCACCTCTTAAAATCTCTGCAACCAAGTTGCGTACCAGGGAGGTGACAAAAACTTACTTTTTTATCCATCCTTTTACAATTTGTCTAGGAGCTATATGGCACTCACCTTTGGCGAATCAGGCTTTTTTTTTTTCCGTGCGTGGCAAGGTTACTTAGTTTCCATAGTCAAATTTATCTCATAATTGTGGATGATTTTAAAGTGGCTAGGTTACGCTTTGGAGTCCCAGACCTTTTATTGTTGAGGTACAAATGGCCCAACCTTTTAAGCATACCTCTCCTTTAAGGAACGTTATATTTTAGGGAAGGGGCATGAAAACAGATTCGTTGCGAAACAAGCAAATGCCGAACATACCTGAGACAAACAGACATTAAGGAGTTTCATATTTACTGGTTTCATCTAAGGTCCTGAATTAAATAGGTGTCATGATTTTGTTATGAGTACCTCAAATTTGATAAGTTAAAAGGTACCATAATTGAACGAAAACTGAAAGAATTAAAGAATGAACCAAGCCAGAGGCATGACATAAAAATTGTAGACATAAAAATTGTATGGTTTACAAGATGTGTCTGATACAGGTAGACCATTTTCAATTTTTTAGTTGGAGTTAACTTGGAAGAAATAAAAGAAAAGCTGAAGAAGAACATAACATCTTGCCGTATGCTTGATCTTTGCCACAAACGGGAAATCACCGATGTGCCTCTGGTCAAATATTTTGAACTCACGCCAAGGAATAAGAGAATGACTCAGTATCTTCACCAACTCCAATCCAGCCATCTTTTCCGTACCATCTGGCATAAGTGCGAGGAAAAGGTAGCTCCCATTTGCCGAGAGGATCTCCGACTAGCTGGAGTACTGACATTAGACACAGTAAACGAGCTTTTGTGGACAAAGTCTTTCGAAAGATGGCAAACTTTGTGGGAGCGAGTATGTAGCGGACAAATAAGTCTTAAAGAAGTGGATGAAAGATTCGGCAAATTTAGAAATGAACCAACGCGTTTCGATATTGAAATTGAAATAGCACTGAAGCTCCTCCCCGACGAACAAGATAGTGAAAAAGTAATCAATCGACGAGTTGGTCAGATCAAACAATACCAGAAGCTAAGAGGGTGCGAGGAAGCTGCTTCAGCTATCTTGGAGTTTCAAAACGCCATGGAGCTTGAAGGAGACTTTCAAGTACTTGATGACTTTCGCAATCAGGTAGTTATTTAGGATAGACCTTGGGTCCTCTTACTGAAAATTATAGAGTGCCTCTTGAGTGAATATCATAAGATGGCGAGTGGATAGATAACAAGCCACGGTAAATATTGCAAGATTCCAAAAGGAATTCACGATAAATGTTAACCTTATTGGGTTAAGCAAATGATCAAAACATGGTTACTCTAATTCTCATCTAAATTGTTAGTTGACGCGAGTTTTCTAAAGCCAATTAAAGGTAGCGGTGATACATACATGTTCCAAACTGAATTGCAGTTTGCCACAGTGTCGTTCTCTGTTATTTGATTTTAGTTGGTATTAAACAACAACAAACATATGAAACATATGTGTGAACTGCGGTTATGAGACGTATATGTGAACGATCCTTCGCAGTAAAGCACTATTTGAGCAATAGTGAAAATCAGACCTGAAAAAAATTTCAGGCCTGTACGGGATTCGAACCACTGACCTCTGCGATACTAGTGCAGCGCTCTACCAATTGAGCTAACAAGCCAACTGGGAGCAGGCCATCAAATTAATTCGACATAAACCCGTAGATGATAAATCAAACAACAACAAACATATGAAACATATGTATGAACTGCGGTTATGAGACGTATATGTGAACGATCCTTCGCAGTAAAGCACTATTTGAGCAATAGTGAAAATCAGACCTGAAAAAAATTTCAGGCCTGTACGGGATTCGAACCACTGACCTCTGCGATACTAGTGCAGCGCTCTACCAATTGAGCTAACAATACAGGCCTGAAATTTTTTTCAGG